CCCCATACACAGTACCCCTACCCCCCCAGCAGTAAACACCTCAATGCAGTATGTGTGTATTCAGCAGTCTGTGTGTGTGTGCGTGTATTCAGCAGTCTGTCTGTGTTTGCGTGTATTCAGCGGTCTGTGTGTGTGTGTACTCAGCAGTCTGTGTGTGTGTGTGTGTGTACTCAGCAGTCTGTGTGTGTGTGTACTCAGCAGTCTGTGTGTGTGTGTACTCAGCAGTCTGTCTGTGTGTGTATTCAGCAGTCTGTCTGTGTGTGTATTCAGCAGTCTGTGTGTGTATTCAGCAGTCTGTGTGTGTACTCAGCAATCTGTGTGTGTGTACTCAGCAGTCTGTCTGTGTGTGTTTTCAGCAGTCTGTCTGTGTGTGTATTCAGCAGTCTGTGTGTGTGTACTCAGCAGTCTGTGTGTGTGTGTACTCAGCAGTCTGTATGTGTATTTATCAGTCTCTGTATTCAGCAGTCTTGTGTGTGTGTATTCAGCAGACTGTGTATATGTATTCAGCAGTCTGTCTATGTATGTATTGCATTTGTTGGAGATACTAATAAATATAAGCTTAATTTTATCTATTTATATCATTATTTAAAATTTGTATCATTGAACTCTCTGTGTTCTTTTAAAACAAAAGTTATTAGTTCGGACAACAGTACGAGTTTTTTTTTTTTCTAAACTTAAACCTCAGTATTTGGGTTTAATTGCCGTGTTGGCACTTTAAGGAGAAAAAATGTTGGCTTGTATTGCGGTTTGGGCACTCGGGCTCAAAAAGGTTCGCCATCACTGCCTTAGCCCCTGAGCGGTGCGGCCGTCCAACAATAACTCTTGTCTGTGGTGTTGACAGTTGTCAGTTGTTGCATACACAGGGTCTGCATCATGTAGGGGTCCCAGGTACTCTTCCATGAGGGTCTCCTTATCGACATAAAGTGCTCGGGCGGGCCGAGTAGTTCCGGGAAAAATAGTTGTTATTGAAGGGACAGCTGGCTATCAGATGCCCAGGCTGTTTACATTTGAAGCAAGTGAGTCGTGGGCGATCTTGTGAGTAGTTGTTGGGTGGTCCCGTGTATCGGGTAGGTCCTGCTGGCACAGGCGTACGAAACTCCATTCGTGGACTTGTTCAGTAATTGTCTCTTGGTTTGGTACGAATCACCGTTCGGGAGTTAGTGAACTCTTGTAGTTGGGAGTCGCGGTGCTCGTAGGCCAATTTTGCGGCTTCGATGAGGTCACTAGGTCGTCTGTCTTTTAACCATTCCCTGTCATTTCGCTATAGTCTGTCATAGAAATGCTCCAACAAAAATAATTCCAAAATCTCGGCTGCAGTGACTGCCCGACACCCGTTAATTCAATGGGTGGCAGCCCTTCACATTCGGTGTGCCCATTCGGCATGTGTGTCATTCGGTTTCTTTTTCGTGCTACGGAACTGCCTGCGATAGGTGTCGGGGGACACCACATATCGTCTCAGCAGGGTGTCCTTTACCAGCGTTTATTGGGCCACCTCCTCTGTGCTAAGGATCCTGAAGGCTTCCATCGCTCACCCTGCTAGCTTCCCCGCCAAGATACAAGGCCATTCCTCGGTGGGAATTTGATGAAGTGCACATTGCCTCTCAAAGTCGGCTAAAAATTTGTCGATTCCCATCTCACTTTCCACGAACGGCTTGAACGCTGGAAACGGAATCTTTTGTTGCCCCGCAAGCTCAGTGGGGTTGCTGGATACAGTGGTGGTAGGACCATGCTGGGCGGCCAGTACGCTGAGCTCATGGGCTCTAGCTAGTTGTATATCCGCCTCTGCCTCAGCCATCAGTTGTTGGACAAGTACTATAGAAAGGTCCGGCCCATATAGTGGGAGCCTTTCCCGAACAATCCTCGTCTTTGAAGCGCTGGCCATTACCGGGGTCTCTGCCATGGTGAAGCTATGGTTCAGCTCGGTCAGGTCAGCAATCAGCTCCCTCCTAGGACGGTTACTTGCGTTCCCACCTCGGCTTTCGTGTAGATCCTTCAAGGTGGTGCGCTTTAGTTTATCATAAGCGTTCTCCATCCGCTCTGTATCTCTCCTAGGAATCCAGGATAATCCAACCTCTGACACCAGATGTTACGGTTTCCTCCAGGCTAGCTGAAAGTTGGACCGCTTGGTTATCCCGGTTCCCGAACTCGGAGAGACGAACGCTGCTGCAAACGGCAAAACCTGCAAGTGTCGAATATCCCACTAGCTATAGTAGAGCTAGGATTCACTGTTCCCTACAACATGAGTCAAGGCCACGAGTTGAGGGTAAAACTATCTGATTTAATGGCATTCATGCATGGCAATTTATACAGTCCTGGGACAACCCCCTCTGGACCTGATGGGATACTGGACAATGCAATGTCCCAACCAATGGCATTACAGTGTATCATTTGAAAATGTTCCCGCCTAGCTTGGAAATAATTGGTTTCAATGGTTACACTAATTATCTCCAAGCGCATAGAAATACCACATTTTATACCCACATGAAAATAACATAAAAATACATAACTTTTAGGTTTTAATACAAACATAGCCCATTCAATCAGTCTCTGGATAGCTCAGATCTGAGCACACAAGATATATGAATTGCGCTCAGATCTCACGAACGGTATATGAAAGTCATGAAATACAAAGTCTGTTTGTAGGTTTTGGCACAAACGGATGGGACAACCGACACCTTGGCAGAGTTCATGCAAACCTTTGGCTGATTCTAGTTCCAGGAGCTTGGGGCTTAGGTCCCGCTGGGGCATTCGACAACAAAAGATGGCCGCCGCCTTTAGTTCGGCATACGAACGGTGCCCACTTTAAAAGAGGTACATAACTTGTGGTTAACCGCAGAAACCACATGTTAATTGAGGCCACACGCCAGATGGTAGGTGGTCGTCATTTGGTAGTCCTTTCGTCAGTTTGGGGTACGTGCTCCATTCACCTAATTGTATCCGAACGGGGCCACCCTGAGGCCAGTCAATTAGGTTGCGGTTAACCACAAACCGCAGCTCCCTGAAGGTTAATTATAGGCACACTCCTCTCATAGGTTGGTCGATCGTTCGTCAGGTCTTTCGGTGATTTCAAAGGTGACTGGGGTTAAGTGGCGGCACACACCAAGGGCTGGGTGGTCGGCTGTTAGTATGTACGAATGAGTACCCAGGATCATTTGTATAACAGGGTAGAAAAAGTATCCAGATAGCAAAGTTATGCACTTTGGGGTTAAGAATGCACAAGCAACCTACACACTAAATGGTTGTGAAGTAAGGATAACCACACATGAGAAGGATTTGGGAATTGTTATAGATAACAAATTAGGCAGCAATATG